CTTAAAGAGCTCAAGCTATGTATCTTAATAAAAAGAAGGTTAAGTGATGACTTGATTACAGTCTCTAGCTACACAGGGAACAAATATTCAACCATGAGCTCTTCAGTCTAGCAGAGAAAGGGATAACGCAATCCAATTGCTAAACATTGACGCTACACAAATTCAGACTACAAATAAACCATACATTTTTGACATTGAGGGTAATTAACCACTGAAACAATTTACCAAGGTTCATGGTGGACTCTCCATCACTGACAATTTTTAAATCAAGACTGGATGTTTTTCTAAAAGACCTACTCTGGGAACTATTTTGGGGAAGTTCAATGGCCTGTGTTATGCAAGAGATCAGACTAGATGATGACTTGGCCTTGGAATCTATGGTTCTATGATCCTAGGTGAAGCCCAAATGAAGCCAATAGGGCTGCGTGAGGGTTCAGGCATCCATCCAATTGCAGCTCACTGCAGAGTCAGGGCCTGCCTGATTAAGAGGAATGGAGAGGAATGACTTCCCAATGGAATTTTAAAGGCTCTTTATCCCACGTGAATTCTTTCTGAGCCTGATCAAAGCCTACTGAAGTCAATGGAAAGGCTGCCATGGACTTCAAAGGCCTTTGCATCAGGCCCAAAATATATAAATACCATGTATCAATGTCCGGGCTTTTTTCCCCTTTCTTTATCTAATTTGTTCCTATTAATCTCTTCATACGTATATGGTAGATCAGATTCCAGACTACACAGATACTGCATTTGTGCACATAATTTTGTCAGTAGCTTTTAACGGTTATAAAAGTCAATGCAGATCACATCCTTGTGTGCTGTATTCCTGTTTTTCTTAAAGAAAAACCTCTCCCTGCCACTGTACTTGAAATACTGCCAGTGAAACTGAACGGAATACACATCACAACCGCACCCAGGCAGTTTCAATATCATCCGTTTGATTCTGCCATTGGAGTTACAATGGCCCGATTCTTGACTCACCCACACTAGTTTTTATGCCAATGTAACTCCATTTACTTCCATGGAGTTACTTCAGATTTTACAGCACTGTGAGCGGGAAATTAGGCCCAATGACTCCAGTTTAAGTGTGCCTGGTGGATTTTTTTTTTTATAGTAAATCCACGTGCAATGAGTTTTGGGGACATTAACGCAATGTGACACCAACTGAACAGAAAAGCATGGTTCTGAAAACTTCTTGGGGAGAAGAGAATTCTTATTTCACAAACTGTAGCAGCTTATTCGGGAGCCATTAGAATCATTCATGTCCATGCATGTTACCTTAGGGGCCTTTACATGATGACTACTTCTATGATGTTAGTGTGTATTTAAGAAGCACTGCTGTGTGGGTACTGACATAATATCCCATAATGACTACTTCAGAGCCTTTAAAATCTAAGGCGTCAATGGGAGTTTACATAACAATAACAAACCACATTACAAGCACAATATACTGTGCTGCACATTTAGCAGTAAAGAAGTACACTAGCATTCTTTTTGGAAAAGCAATTACTTTATACCTGCACTAACTGTATTTTAAGTCTCATTATCACAGCTATTTTGGTTTGGTCTGATACACACAGAGGCAGTAATCCATAACATGGACTCAATGGCTTGCAGAATTTCATCCGCCAAATCCTGCTTATCTGATTCCCGTGAGTAAAAAAGAAAAAAAGGATGATGATTCTGGAACCAGTTCTTAAGCTAACACCATCCCACTGCTCGCACCAGGAACCTTTCTAGGCCCCACTCACGCAAAGACTTAGGGTACTGCAAAATTATGTTGACCTAAGTTACATTGATGTACAGCCAGCACAGTAATAAAATCACTTTTGCATGTCCACACTATGCTTCTTGTGTTGGCAGTGCACATCCTCACCAGGAGCGCTTGCACCGATTGAACTGTCAGCGTGGGGCAGTGTGGGACAGCTTCTGAAAGCCAGCAACAGTCGATGTAAGCAATGTGGTGTCTACACTGACACTGCGTCAGCCTAACTACGTCAACCTAAGCGCTATGCCTCTCGTGGAGGTGGAGTTATTAAGTTGACATAGCCAGGGGCGGCTCCAGGCACCAGCGCACCAAGTGCCTTGGGAGGCCCGCCAGTCCCGCGGTTTCAGCGGCAATTCAGTGGCAGGTACGCCGAAGCCGCGGGACCGGCGGACCTCCCGCAGGCATGGCGCCGAAGGCTGCCTAACTGCCGTGCTTGGAGCGGCAAAATACATAGAGCCGCCCCTGGGCATAGCAGGCGAGTTACATCGGCAGGAGCAACATTATAGTGTAGACTCTTAGGCTAGGTCTACACTACCCGCCTGAATCGGCGGGTAGAAATCGACCTCTCGGGGATCGAATTATCGCGTCTCGTCGGGACGCGACAATCGATCCCCGAATCGACGCTCTTACTCCACCAGCGGAGGTGGGAGTAAGCGCCGGCGACGGGAAGCCACGGAGGTCGATTTTGCCACCGTCCTTACAGCGGGGTAAGTCGGCTGCGATACGTCAAATTCAGCTACGCTATTCGCGTAGCTGAATTTGCGTATCTTAAATCGACCCCCCACCCCTCCCGTAGTGAAGACCTGCCCTTAAAGAGTTAGGTCAACATAAGCTGCCTAGCGGTGATCTAACTCTGTAGTGTAGACCAGGGCTTACTCTTGTGCTTACCTTTATACACGGGTTTCCATGAGAGGACTCACAATGGGACTACTTACAGCATGCAAAAATCAGCACATGTGTACTGGATTCATTTTGAGTCTTGTACAGCACTGAGCTCATTGTCAGCACTTTACAGATTAGTAGAATAAATCATAATTACAGGTGAGGAATTAAATTGCTCCTCGGACTCAATAGCTCATGCCAAGTTTTGTTTTAGTGCATTCATTTTTAACACCAAGCCCCCTGAAAATATACACTAGTGACAGAAATGCTAGTACAAGCACAAGCTCTCCTGGCTGCCTCTATAATAGCTCAAATATGCCCTGGGTGAGTGTGTTGCTACTGTTTAGGGATGATGCCCAGTCTCTTGTGATGTGTGAGGTACCTCTCATAGTGACCTATGAAGTAATGACAATGCCAGTTTCAGTAAGTAATGCTCTCTCAGCACTTTCTATCTTCCCAGCAAGAGCAGAGACAGGGCGATCACGTCATCTGTGAGGGAGGGAACAGAAAGCGGCTTCTGAAAACAAATAAGTCCTGCAGCTGAGTCTCCTCCTAGATGCGTTGGCTCCGAGAGCTGGAGTCTAGACGTAACTACAAGTTTAAACCAGCACAGGTGCAAGGAACAGGTTCTTTCACAGGGAGTACGTTCAGGGAGGGAGAGAAAGGAAAAATGGAAATGCACAAAAATCATGTGAGGAAAAATCCCTTCTGAAAACAAAAAGAACACATCTTCCGAACTGTGAGCAGTGCAGCTTCCCCACAGATGCTAAATGACTTTTTTTTTTTTTTTTTTTAGAGAAAGGGGTAGGGGGAAACAAATCATTGACATGACCATAAAAGTATGACAAATTGTGAAACAGGATTGTGAGAGCTAAAATAAATAACCCTTATGGAAGATTGACATATAATAATTAGCCCAAACAGCATGCACACATTAACCGCCCCTGGTATATAAATATCTACTAGTGTACAGAAAGGAACATGATAAAATAAAAATTCACCAGCAACGCAAAGGAGATCTTTATTTGAACGACAAATGAAAATTCCCGGGGGAGGGGCTCTTTCATCCCATACATATCCCTTTTTTCCCCAAGCCCTGTTCCATAAAGCAAGCCTCATTCAGATGGGAGGTCATCATTTGTACCAAACATATACGCAATGAATAGAGTCAAGCAGTCTTTATTTGGTAGATCACATTCAATGCAACACTGTACCTGCAGCAGCTTGGCACATTTTGCATCATTCTCTCTTACATGAAAAGTCTTTGTTCTCCACCGCCCCATTGCGCTGCAAGCCCCCTTTTTCTGTTCGCAGTCGTTTCCTCTCCACTGCTGATCATTTCAACACAGAGATTTTTTTCCAATGCAAATTAAAACCGATTGCTCCCCTTGCACCCCCACTTTGAACAATGCTCTTTGTCCACCCTTACAGATCCTTGTAAAGGAGCTTAAGGGGGGAGGGGGAGAGGTTACATCCGTGGCACTCCAAAGATTCTCGAAATCCTAAAATGAGTTGACAAAAGTAGCCTGTTCCTATTAAGATAAATGATGGTGCTTTCGATTTTCCTGGGGGCACTGCGGTCAAATCGGTGCGCACCAGATGGTCCATGATAACCTTACGGCTGGATTTTGCTTATGACAAAGCTTATTTTCCCCTTGACCACAGGGAAGAAATACAAAGCTGACTCCCTCCGTTTGCGAGTTACAGAGAGATGTATCTTAGCGCAGTTGCACCCCTCCTTTATCCCCCGCCTCCCCACTTTCTTGAAATTTCCATCCTTAAACAAAAGAGGAAGGTGGGGTGGTGACCGAAAGACAAAGCTGCATTCAAGAAAACCCTTCCAAGGAGGCAATTTTTTTTTTTAAGGTTTTGCTTCTAGATCCACTTAAAACTCATAATAGTGGTTGAGGGGAGGGTTACTTTCTAGGTGTCCTTTTCCTTTCTTCTCTTCTGGTGCTGGAAATTCAGGGCGATTGGCTTCAAGTCGACACAAGCAACCCTTCGTATCGGTTTACATGGCTTTATTAATTATTATTATTACTATTATTATTTTAATGCTGTCCTCGAGGGGTCCTGCGTCCACCAACCTTTATGCAGCTCGATACCCCCAAATCCTAGGTCCACATCTACCGCCTGTGTAGACCTAACCACACCGCAGGTCTAGGGCGATGCTGGGCCACTGATCTAGACCCCCAGCAATCGCTGGGCAGCGCGGCCAGGTACCGCCAGGCGAACCTGTGCCTAGAAATCTCGGGGCTCAGGGGCTCGCTCCCTGCCCTAGGCGGGGCGGGTGGGGGGCAGGCCCGGAGGTGTGGGGCCGGGAGCTCGCGGGGCGGGGGGGGGGGAACCTTACCTGAGCGCAGATGCTGCTGCCGGTCTCGGGACACAGGCCGAGCGCCGGGGACAGGAGCGCGCGATGCTGCAGAGGCTGCGGCGGCCGCTGCGAATGCGGGCTCGGCTCCCCCGCCGCCCGGCTGGTGCGCGGCCGGCCCCGCCCCCGCCCCCGGCCCCGCCCCAGCCCCAGCGCCCGCACCGGCCCCGCCGCCAGCCGCGTCGGCTGCACAGCGGCTGGGGCGGCTCCTGCCCTGCCCCGCTGAGCGCCAGGGGCAGAGGGGGTGTGCACAGGGCAGAGCAGAGTGGGTGTGCAAGGGAGGGGGGAGCACAGAGTGGGTGTGCACAGGGCAGAGCAGAGTGGGTGTGCATAGGGCAGAGCAGAGTGGGTGTGCAAGGGATAGGGAGCAGAGTGGGTGTGCACAAGGATGGGGAAGCAGAGTAGATGTGCACAGGGCAGAGCAGAGTGTATGGGATGTGCAGCAGGGGGATGTGCAAGGGATTGGGGAACAGAAGTGGGTATGCGGGAGTCCAGTGGGCGTGTATAGGGCAGAGTGGGTGTGCACAGGGATGGGGGAGCAGAGTAGATGTGCACAGGGCAGAGTAGAGTGTACGGGATGGGGAGCAGGGGATGTGCAAGGGATGGGGAGCAGAGTGGACGTGTTCAGGAGAGAGCAGAGACGGTGTGCACAGGGATGGGGAGCAGAGTGGGCATGCACAGGGCAGAGTAGAGTGGGCGTGCAAGGGATGGGGAGCAGAGTGGGTGTGCACAGGGCAGAGCAGAGTGGGTGTGCAATGGATGGGGGAGCAGAGTGGCCGTGTATTGGGCAGAGCGGGTGTGCACAGGGATGGGGAAGCAGAGTAGATATGCACAGGGCAGAGTAGAGTGTACGGGATGGGGGGCAGGGGGATGTGCAAGAGATGGGGAGCAGAGTGGGTGTGCACAGGGCAGAGCAGAGTGGGTGTGCAAGGGATGGGGGAGCAGGGTGGCCGTGTGTAGGGCAGAGCGGGTGTGCACAGGGATGGGGAGCAGAGTGGCCGTGTACATGGCAGAGTAGAGTGGGTGTGCAAGGGATAGGAAGCAGAGTGGACGTGTTCAGGACAGAGCAGAGTGGGTGTGCACAGGGATGGGGAGCAGAGTGGGTGTGCACAGGGCAGAGTAGAGTGGGTGTGAAAGGGATAGGAAGCAGAGTGGGTGTGTACAGGACAGAGCAGAGTGGGTGTGCAAGGGATAGGGAGCAGAGTGGGTGTGTACAGGGAAGAGCAGAGTGGGTGTGCACAGGGATGGGGAAGCAGAGTAGATGTGCACAGGGCAGAGCAGAGTGTATGGGATGTGCAGCAGGGGGATGTGCAAGGGATTGGGGAACAGAAGTGGGTATGCGGGAGTCCAGTGGGGGTACAAGGAATGGGGAAGCAGAAACAGATGGGAGAGCATGAGAATGAGGAGCAAAATGGGGATGCAAGGAATGGGGGGACAGTGTGTAAGGGGTGGGCAGCAGAATGAGGGGGACAAACTGGAGATTCACAGGGGTAATGGAGGTGCAGACCAGGGGAAGGGAGATGGCAGATCAGGTGAGGGTGAGGCGGCGGGGAACAGATCAGGATGACACAGAGAGAGGGGAGACTTCAACAGCAGAGTTAAGGGAAAGTGGGGGGGTCAACATTTATGGCCTGCATCATGCGGGAGGTCAGACTAGATGACCATATTGGTCCCTTCTGACCTTAAAGTCTATGAGTCTATGAGGGGAAGATGCCTCCAATGAGCTGTGGCCGAAAACAAACAATTGCCCCCTTTTAGTCCAGGGATCAGTTGGTGCAAGTGACAAGCCCAAAAAGCCCAGAAAATTCAAAATAGTCAACTGTTTGCAGCGATACTAAACAGTAAAGCTGAGCGCCATTGAAAGAACATGCCCCTTCTGTTTATGTAACTAAATATGGATTCACATGCCGAGCTGTGGGCAGTGCTTAAAATGGTCTGGGAAAAAAACGGTAAGAGGGCTGTCATAGTCTCTGAGCAGCAGCTTTGGTAAAACAGGGCTTAATGTGCATTCCATAGTGACCCAGCTTGTTTTCTGGCTGGGTCTGCAAATCCCCTGCTTTAAGGACTGGTGGTAATCACCCAGGTTTGAAAGTGTTGGCCCAAGTCTTCAGCTCTCTCTCTATCTGTTTGCCTAAAATGCAAAATGGATATAATGATATTTTGAAAAGTGCTTTATAAATGTTAAGTATTATTACACTCAATGCAGCCTGGCTGTCATTCATCTCCACTGAACTTCTGACAGCTTACCCCTGCCCCCTCCTTGTACCTATTCTAGGAATCATCCCCAATGATTATAGAAATGCATCCTGGGAAGGTACCTCAACATCACTTATATGGCATCATTTGGATGTTCCAAGGATGCAGATCTCAGCTTTAGCATGCTGTACCTTTTTTAAGGAGAAGAATAGTTTTGAGGCAGAAAGAACACAGTATAAGCAGTGCTGTTTGTGCAGGTCAGAAACGGAATACTGACTGAATGCTTGTGAGCAGTCGAGCCAATACCGATAATTCTACAGAAGTTCTATTTCCTGGATTTTGGCTGGATTGAAAACAAGAAAAGGTATCTCATTACCTTGTCAACTTTCACTAATTTCCCAAACTGAACTTTCCTCCACTTCCCCTCAGGGTATCAGTTACTGTCTCCAAGACCTGGTCAACATCTAAAACTTAGGTTGACCTAGCTATGTTGCTCGGGACTGGGAAAAATGTCTTGCCCTGAGCGCCATGGTTAGGGTGACCTAATCCCCTATGTAGGTGCGGCTAGGTATGACATAAGGATTCTTCCGTCAATCCAGCTACTGCCTCTCAGAAAAGTGGATTATCGCCATAAATGGAAAAACCCCTTCCGGCAATGTAGGAAGTGTCTACCCTATGATGCTACAGCAGCATAGCTGCAGCATGGTTGTCATGGAGAAATCAATACATCCAATTCAGGTGCAATAATGTGGAGGCCATGTCATTTTCAGCATGTAGACAGAAGGTGAATCTTGAAAGTTAGTCATTCATCTGCAGTTCTCACTCAAAAATTATCACAGAACCTTAGAAATTATAGATGGAAAATACTACTTAGCTCATCAGATCCAACCAAATCAGGAGCCCTTTCCGCTGGAGGATTGTTCTCTACTGGATAGAGTGTTTTATCAAGTATTAACATGAATGCCTCTAGTAATGGGACACCCTTCACTTTCCTTGGGAAAATTGTGTGGGAAAATTCTATTATGCCCTTCATAAATTAAATGGTCAACTAAGCTACTGTTACTAAGTGCATTAAGACAGGAAATGTTTGTCATTTATTTTAGAGATGCTTGTAGGAGGCTTTGTTAGGAAGACTTGCAAGGATCAGAAGGTGGTACTCCAGAGTGTATGTGTGTGCAGGGGGGAGGGTAGGATTGATGCATAGGAAAAGCACATCTTTTGGAACCTCACAGAAAATCAAGAATTAGGTAAAGATCTGATACAGAGATCCAAAATTGCCAGTGTAAGAAGATCTGAGCAGTCACATAAAGAGGAGTTCTGCTTGGACTGTATATTGGAAAAAAGGCATGGTCTATAACCTTTTTAAAAACAGACTAATTTCAAACAGTTATTTGGAGATGTATCATTCTAAGGAGAACTTGTCAATACATTTTTTTTCCTTTGGATATACAGCTACAATGCCAGGATACTGATGAATGAAGACTACATTCTTCTATTATTCTATCAGCTCTTAGAAGTATAAGTTTTGGCCACATAGATATTTGGATTCAAACTTCAAAAGGGGAAGAAAACATTTCATTTCCTAAATAAGCAATACACGAGTCCACATTTAATTTGGATGTATGAACACAGTAGTCAAGTCAGAGGCATCTGATAATTAGATGATTAGATTAGAAGGTTACAAACATTAGAAGGAATTTTAAATACATGTAAACTACTTCTATGACATATCCTAAGCACTTTCCTACTAGCCTCTTTTGCAATCTGTGTGCATATATAACAATTGGGTTGCCGAGTTTTTGCCATTCTAACTTGAGAAGCATCTAGGCTAAGGTGACTGTGAAAGGTGAGAATCACTATTATTCTGCTGCTTCTGGTAAGTCCTCCTATAGTGGCCCTACTGCACATCCAGTCTATAAGGACCTATATAGGGAACACAAGTTTGATAGAGAGCTCTTTGTATGGGCAGGTATAACAAGATCCAATGGTTGGAAGCTGAAATTAGATAAATTAGGACTAGAAATAAATTTCATTTTTTTAACACAGTGAGGATAATTACACATTGGAACAGTTTACCAAGGGTTATGGTGGATTCTCCATCACTGGCCATTTTAAAATCAAAATTGGATGTTTGTTCTGAAAGATCTGCTCTAGTTCAAACAGGGAATTAATTCAGGGAAGTCCTCTGGTCTGCTTTGTACAGGATGTCAGACTAGATCACAATAGACCCTTATAATCTATGACCCTATCAATCTGGGGCTATAGAGGAACATCTGAGCTGGACAGGGCCCTAAATGATCTCTTCTATTGAAAAGCAAAACAAAAACGTCTACTGGACGTGTTACTCAAACATTTGTCATTGGCTTTACAAAGTGGGTACAAATAGTCACAACTTGTTCCCGAGTGGATTTAACGGGCTCAAATGTTTATCTGTATCTAAGTGCCAAACACTGTAAGCTTGCCATAAAGATTTTCACAATGGACTCTTCCTTTTATATCTCCCTCGTTTGGCAGCGTTTACTTACTGCAGATTATTTATTTGAGGGATGTTGCTTGCTCCTGTGTTTATTTCTGGTCATTGCGGGAAAGGCTATTGCACACAGGTGAGACTTGCAGCAGACTCTGAAATCAGCTATGCCTAGCCTCAACCTTCTCTCTTCTGCCAAGTCTTGCCACAATTGAGACCTTGCCTCTGTCTCTCAAAAGCTGCATTTTCCAGGGGGATCATAGGCATGTCTGTGAGTTGCAAGTGAAGAGTTGGCTCTGGTAAAGCAGGGCCCCAACTAGCCGAGGGCCTTAGGGTACGTCTACACTACCTGCTGGATCGGCAGGTAGCGATCGATCTATCGGGGGTTGATTTATCGTG